TAGACTGAAGAGGGGATAGCCTGTGATTAGGTAGGCCAATGAGGAGGGAGTTACAATAGTCAAGGCGAGATATAACCAGGGAGTGAATAAGTTTCTTAGTGGTTTCCGAGGTTAGGAATGGGCGTATCTTGGAGATGTTGTGGAGGTGAAGTCTACAAGATTTGGACAGTGATTGGACCTGGGGCTGAAAGGACAGATGGGACTCTAGGATTACACCTAGTACCCTGGCATGAGGGGAGGGACTGATGATTGTATTATTGATTTTGATGGAGAAGTCAGGGGAGGGGGCACGGGCTGGGAGGAATACTAGGAGCTCAGTTTTGGAAAGATTGAGTTTGAGGAAGTGGAGTGACATCCATGCCAATATGTCACTTAGTAGGTTAGTAATGTGAGAGGAGACTGAAGGGGTGAGGTGAGGGGTAGAAAGATAGATAGAAATAGGTCTGTATGCAATCTATTTACAGTAAATCTGACCAAACATTATACAAATTTCTTGTTCAGTTTTCTTTAGATTTACATACATTCAACTATGTAGTGCAAGGGCCTGCCTGATTACATACAAATTGAAGGTGTTTACATTTAATCTCATATTATATGGATTTGATAAATCTAAAGGAAAATTGTACAAAAAAATTGTATAATGTATGACCAGCCTAACACAGGCCTGTTATTCCTATTAGATTGTTTACCATGCTAACTTAAAGCGGAACTTAAAGTAGTTGTAAAGGCTCAAGGTATTTTTTATCTTCATGCTGTCTATGCATGAAGGTAAAAGACCTTCTGTGTGCAGCTCCCCCCCAGCCCCCCAATACTTACCTAAGCCCCCTCAGGATCCAGTGATGTGCACGAGATACTTGGCTCTCCATGGACTCTCCCTCCTCATTGTCTCCTCCTGATGTCAGTCACAGCCAGTGAGCCAATGAAGAAAGAATGGGGGAGGGGCCCACGGCTCTGTGTGTAAATGGACACGCAGAGCAGTGGCTCAGGTGTGAGCCTTCTTGGATGCCCAGCAAGCTGCTTGCTCTAGGGGTACATGATCCAAGAAGAGGAGGATCAGGGCTGCTCTGTGCAAAACCATTACACAGAGCAGGTAAGTATGATATGTTTGTAATTTTTTTTTTTAAATTGCCTTTAATATCACTTTAACCGCTTCCGTGCTGCCCTGTAGCAAAAAATACTGCTACAGGGTGGCACGGCTGTGCAAAATCACATATATATATATGTGATTTTGCAGTTCCGGGTATGGGGCGCACGCCTCAAAGGAGCTTACAAGCTAAGGCCCTCAATCCCCTCATGTTTTGCATTGTATTGTTATTGTTCTGTCACATGTTCTGTCCCCCTTTGTAATGTACAGTGCTGAGCGAACTATTGGCACTTTATAAATACTGTTTAATAATATAATAATATCTCATGCATACATATGGGCACACACATACTAGGGCCAATATAGACAGGAACCCTTTCTTCTACCCACATGTCTTTGGAGTGTGGGAGGAAACTGCAGAACCTGGAGTAAACCCATGCAAGCACAAGGAGAACATACAAACTCCATGCAGATAGTGTCCTGACATTTAGAACTGTAGTTTGTTCAAGGCTAAAATGTTATAAAGCTTGCTGCTTTTTGCAATAGCGTGTGCCATCTGGTGTGGGAGTGGTTAAAGGGATAAACTCTATTTGCCAAAGGAGTGTAGTAAAATATAAAAATAAATATACCTTCTTTTCTAGAATGTATGTGATACATTCCTCTCAATATCATAGTCCGTCAGCATTGCAACAAAATTGTGTGTCAGTTGTGATTAGCAGGTCTGTGCACTGTGCAGTGTGACAGTGATGTGCATTTCATTAAGCTGTAGCAGTTGTTAGTTTGCCATAATGATTGCTATTCACTCTACTAAAAATGTGTTTTTCTTAAAACCGGGAGCCATATCCAAACAACTTTTACTCCCCCTCACCTGCTTGTCAATGGAGCAAACATCCTTTGATTTATAATATTAATCCTTCCATCTACAAGAACATTTATCTTTATAAAATTATTTTCCCCAGATAGCAAGATGTAGTGATATTTATAAAGTGTGACATGTTACATTAAGTTCATTAACTTCTTCTATTCTCAGCTCTCAGCTCATAGATTCCATTCTGTTATATACACTATACAAAGAGATCCACAACTCCTTTTAATATCATTATTCTTTTTGGCAACATTATACAGACATTATTTTATGTCAGTGCAGTATGTGTAAAGATGTGTCTTTTAAAACAGGAATTTACTATTACTCTGCTTCAAAACGTACAGCTCGACAAATCCCAGGTCGCCATGGCAACTAGAAATTGCATCCTGGTGCTTGGGTTCACACACTGCCTCCCATTGACTTCAATGCAAAACCACATTCTATTGACTTCAATTCAAAAATGCTTTCTATTGACTTCAATGCAAAAATGCCTCCTATTGATTTCAATGCAAAAACATCTCCCATTGACTTCAATGCAAAACATTTCCCATTGACTTCAATGCAAAAACATCTCTCCCATTGAAAAAGCATCCTGTTTATGTTGCAGTTGAGAGGGGTTTGAAGGGATGGTTCAAACCAGGATTGCACAGGAACATGTTCGTGTGCAATGCATTTTGATGGCCATTCATTTGAATGGGCTGCAAACACACTTGACCATAGAAAAAGTAGTGCTTGCGCTACTTTTCAAAATGTACTGCACCAAGCCGCATGGTACTACATTTGCAATCTGCTTGTGGGGTGCCATTAACAATACATTAATACCCGCATGCAGATTGCATTTACCTGTGATGTAGGAAATGCCCACAGAATGCACTTTTCCCACACTGTATTCTGGTGTGAACCAACCCTAAAAGGTATAATGCAGACTTCCTCCATTAAAGTAGAGCTTTAGGCTATTTTTTCCCATTTTGGATACAGCAAGAGAGGGTTATAACCCCTGTCAGATTTTTGCCCATCTGTGTCCCAATGCGGAGATTTCCCTTCACTTCCTGTCCCACAGCCTAACAGGAAGTGACAAGAAATCCCTGCAAATTACGGGAATTCCTTGGGGACCCCCAGGTCACCAGAACTAGTGTCCCCATTGTAAGATGTCTCTTCTATTAGTTTTCTGGGAACAACCCAAAATTTGGGATTTTCTTTTATGTTCACCTTCAATGATAATGGTAAATAGGACAAAGAAAGGATGAATCTCCCTAACAGGGGGGGGGGGGGGCACAGACAGCAATAGAAACTGACAGGGGTTTTATTCCCTCTACATTCTATCCAAACCTAACAAAAAGGTTTGACGGGCCCCTCAATGATAATAATAGTAAGGAGTGCTGATGTGACAGTTCTGTAATAAATTCCAGTGCGGTATCCAGTGAGAAAGTGATAAGATTGTCCACTAACCAGAAGCGCAATCTTAATACGCATGTAGAAATCCAAAACAGCTGGAGGTCTGATAAAGGCTGGTGGGATATTGATGTCCTCCAGGGGGTCCCTCAATCAGATGGTTAGTATAAGTCTGGTCAGTTGTGAAGGTAATCCTCCAGCTCTGTTCAGAAAAGAAGAAGAAGCTGTTGGAGGGTTACCTTCACAACTGACCAGACCTATACTAACCATCTGATTAGTGGACAATCTTATCACTTTTTCACTGGATACCACACTGGAATTTATTACAGAAATGTCACATCAGCACTCCTTACTATTATTATCATTGAGGGGCCCGTCAATTCATGACTACATTCAACACATGAATTTCTATCATATTGGTTTTTATTTGCATTTTAGCACTGCACTATATTGTTTTTATTTTGCTTGCTATTGAAAGGTTTTGTGGTTCCTTTTTAGTGCATTTAGCTGCTCACATATGCGCTCGCTAGGCCTCTACACATTTTAACAAAAAGGTTTGTCTTTAGTTATACTTTAAAGCCAAAATGCAGCCAAAACATTTATTTTGTCTCAGAAAAAGCAAGTAACTGATAGAATTTTGTCAGGCGCTTATTGCTATCTGTGTCTTTATTGGGCAAATTCACCCCTACCTCTCTTACCAGGACACAGGAAAACACAAAAACACATTTTAGTTGAGCGAGGAAGGGTTAAATATTATAAGACTGGACATTTATTGCTGTTTGTGTCTTTCTGTCCTAATGCCAACCCTCTCTCCTCCCAATTTCTTGTACAGGCATCACAGAGTCAGAAATATATTTAACATCTCCATAATGGGGTCACAGGCAGAATGGAAACCTGGCAGAAAATTAAATCTTGCCAACTCAATTCAGCACTGAAATATAGAATTAGGCTTTGGGGTGATTATGGCATTCTGATTAATAATTCAGTGTTATTCTATGGCCAATTTTGGTTGCTATAGTTCAGTTTGAGAGTTTGAGTGGGAAGAAGTTTACTCTTTTAACCACTTGCCTACCAGGCACTTATACCCCCTTATTTACCAGGCCAATTTTCAGCTTTCAGCGCTGCCGCACTTTGATTGACAATTGCGCGGTCATGCAACATTGTACCCATATGAAATTTTGATCATTTTCTTCTCACAAATAGAGCTTTCTTTTGGTGGTATTTAATCGCCACTGGGCGCTTCACTTTTTGCGCTATAAATAAAAAATTGCCAAAAATTTGAAAAAAAAAAAAAGTTTCTTTGTTTCTATTATAAAACTTTTTCAAACAGGTAATTTTTCTCCTTCGCTGATGTGCGTTGATGAGGCAGCACTGATGGGCACTGATAGGGCGGCACTGATAGGCAGCACTAAAGGGCACTGATAGGCAGTACTAATGAGGTGGCACGGATAGGCGGCACTGATAGACAGCACTAATGAGGTGTCACAGATAGGCGGCACTAATATGCAGCACTGAAAGGCGGCACTGATAGGTGACACTGATGATGGGTACTGATAGACGGCACTGACTGGCATCACTGCTGGGCACTGACTGGCGGCACTGACTGGCACAACCGCTGGGCACTGACTGGTGGCACTGACTGGCAGCACTGCTGGGCTGCACTGGTGGGTGGCACTGGTGGGCAGCACTGGTGGGTGGGCACAGGTGGGTGGCACTGGTGGGCACAGGTGGGTGGGCACAGGTGGGTGGCACTGCTGGGCACAGGTAGGTGGCACTTCTGGGCACAGGTGTGTGAAATTGCAGAGTGGCACAGGTGGGTGCACTGCTGGGCACAGGTGGGTGCACTGCTGGGCACAGGTGGGTGATCTGCTGGGCACAGGTGGGCGGAGCTAGTGTGCGCACTGCAGGGCACAGGTGGGCGGAACTTGCGGGTGGCACTGCTGGGCACCGATCATCAGGGCACTGATCATCAGTGCCCTGATGATCGGTGCCGATCCCCGCTCTGACAACTGCCGGTTCTCGGCAGTACTTTCCTCACGATCTGACAGCGTGAGGAAAGTGCAGCCGAGAACCAGCACTTGCATTTCCCTCTGATCAGCGTGTCATTGGACACCGCTGATCAGGTGGTAAAAGGCCGCTGTGATTGGCCTTTTACCACATCACGTGATCAGCTGTGTCCGTAGGACACAGCGATCACGGAGATCGCTGGGTGTGCGCGCAGGAGAGCGCGTTCTGGGGGGACCTCATATGACGTCCACTCAGAACTGGCCGGCCGCAGTGCAGCCGTCATTCAGCTATCTGCGGTCGGCAACAAGTTAAATACTGTTTTTTGTTGTCTCTTGGATAATTTTTAAAGGTGTATTATTATCTGAATTATATTTTTGAGTGCACTTGATACTTCTTTCATTTTGTTTATACACACTCTGTTTTTACTATTCTATACCAAAATTCAGTTAGGGTAGTTTTTGCATTGATTGTTCATGACGGGTTCACATTAAAATAATAAAAGAAGTTTGCTGATAATAAATATTACATTTCTGAAAGTGCATCTCCATTTTGTGTAGAGGGAGAGCTGAGGAAATGGAAAAAAAAAAACAAAATCCTCCAGATGAACTATCTAAACTCACCGGCCAATTTATTAGGTACACCTTGCTAGCACCAGGTTGGACCCCCTTTTGCCTTCAGAACTGCCTTAATTCTTCATGGCATAGATTCAACAAGGTGTTGGAAACATTTGATTTTTGTCCATATTGACATGATAGCATCATGCAGTTGCTGCAGATTTGTCAGATGCACATCCATGATGTGAATGTTCCACCACATACCAAAGATACTCTGTTGGATTGAGATCTGGTGACTGTGGAGGCCATTGGAGTACAGTGAACTCATTGTCATGTTCAAGAAACCAGTTTGAGATGATTTGAGCCTTGTGACATGGTGCATTGTCCTGCTGGAAGTAGCTATCAGATGATAGGTACACTGTAGTCATAAAGGGATGGACATGGTCAACAACAATACTCACGTAGGCCATGGCATTTAACAGTGTTCAATTGGTACTAAGGAACCCAAAGTGTGCCAAGAAAATACCCCCGACACCATTACACCACCACCAGAGTGAACCGCTGAAAAAGCAGGATGGATGTTTATGCCAAATTCTGACCCTACCATTTGAATGTCGCAGCCAAAATCGAGACTCATCAGACCAGGCAACGTTTTTCCAATATTCTGTTGTCCAATTTTGGTGAGCCTGTGCGAATTGTAGCCTCCGTTTCCTGTTCTTAGCTGAGAGGAGTGGCACCAGGTGTTGTCTTCTGCTGCTGTAGCCCATCTGCTTCAAGGTTCGACGTGTTGTGCATTCAGAGATGGTATTCTGCATACCTTGGTTGTAATGAGTGGTTATTTGGGTTACTGTTGCCTTTTTATCATCTCAAACTAGTCTGCCAATTCTTCTCCAACCTCTGTGACAGGAGCCGACTGGCGGTAGCATCTAGCGCCCCACAGACCAGAATTCCTCAGGGCGTGGAATCTAAGTCCCAGCCTGCTGTTTCACCAGAGCCCCTGATGGTGGGGATGGACTTGGAGCAGACTGAGAGCAGGTCGCGGCCCCCGAGTACAACCGGCTGTGGTAGAGGTAGTTGCCAGTGGCAAGTAACAGGTGAGAGCCTGATGTGAAGAGGCGGAGTGTAGTGTAGTCAGACAGGCCAGGACGGTAACAGCGGAGGCAAACGGTACAGAGCAGCAGGCTAAGAGTAATCGGGTCACAGGCCAGGTTCAGCAACGGGAGGTCAGATAATCAGGATCAGGCAGAGAATAGTCAAAATGAGCCAAAGGTCAGAGCAGGAGACAGTCAACAGGATCAGGGTCAGGCTGGGTCGGCAACAAGGCAATCACTGAAACAGAAACAAGCAGGAACACAGGAACAAGACCATACAGCAATTTGGATACGCACAGGGCTGGTTTAAATAGTGCACCCTGCGCTGTCATTGGTGCCAGGCGCGCGTCCGCAATCGCGAGTGAGCATGCGCAGCCGCCACTGTTGCCGCAGTTGCCTATGCCCTAGTGCCCACCGGCTAATGCGCATCGGCATTCTGCGCATGCACAGACCCGTGCGCCGCCGCGATCCCTGACACTCTGACATCAACAAGGCATTTTCTTCCACACAACTGCCACTCACTGAATAGCCACTCTCTGTAAACCCTAGCGATGGTTGTGTGTGAAAATCCCAGTAGATCAGCAGTTTTTGAAATGTTCAGACCAGCCCGTCTGGCACCAACAACCATGCCACGCTCAAAGTCATTCAAAGTCACTTAAATCCCATTCTTCCCCATTCCAATGCTCAGTTTGAACTTCAGCAAGTCGTGTTCACCATGTCTAGTTGCTGCCATGTGATTGGCTGATTAGCAATTTGTGTTACCAAGCAATTGAACATGTGGACCTAATAAAGAGGCCGGTGAGTGTACAAGTACGCTTAGCAAACTTTGTTGCTGGTTCTTACTAAGTAGAGAAAGAAAAATCTCATAGTGATCAACCAATAATAGGTTTATTAAAACACCAATATATGATTTTTTTTTTCTGTTGTGATGTTAAATCAGAACTTTATGCATAACGATTAAAAATAATGTTCTTTAGCAAAGAGCATACATTCCTCATTAATAATTATGCAACCAAAATTAGTGTGTGCTGTGAATTTCCTCCAGCATCGTTCCTGTTTCTTACTAGAGGCTGCCATTTTGTTGAAGCCCAGAGCCCTGAGCGGCAGTTAGAGCAGAACTAAACCCTCCTATCCTTTTCAGCAAAGGAAGATCATCTGTTTGTTCTGCAACTGCCATGGTGCTGCACTTGTGATCAGTTATACCAGTCATTTGATGGCTTCACAGTTTGGTTGAGAACGCAAGCAAATGTGACAGTTAGCATTCTTGGCATGCCGGGAATGTAACTGTTTTTTAAACTGTTAAATCTATAGGTTTAGTTCTGCTTTAATCTTTAGACTGTCTGCAGATCGGCCTCTACAAATTCAGCACAGCACCTAAAAATGGAGAGCAACTAAACATGTGCAGAGCAGGGTGAGACAGTGGATTACTGGATTTTAAACAGTATAGGCCCTTATTTTTAATTTTTATATAGCTATACTTGCAAAAGGGACGAGCCCGAAGTGATCTGGCAAGACTTAATTTTCTGACTAAAGTTCCATTTTAAGACTTTTAGTTAATTTTACAATTTCTTTAAACACAAAGTTCTGGAAATTATTTTTTGATAATTGTCATATTTTAAAATGTGCAAATCACAACACGTTCTGTATTTATACTTATTCAGTAAGACCTAAATCATGTGTTAGATCACATTTTCTAAATCTTTGTTAAATTACAGACACCCAACAGATTGCCCCATATGTCCCAAAACTACCTTTGCCAGACTGTGGAAATCATTATCATTAGCCTGATAAGTAGCAGTATGAATTGAGTAGATGTCAATAGCTTGGAATTCATTTAAAACTGTATGCTAGGAACTAAACAGCTGAAAGAAAATCTTATTGATTTTATTATCTTTAGTTTATATATAAAAAAAATACAAAATAAATGCAAAATGCATGTACATAATCTAGCTACATCTAGTGATATTTTCCTTGTCCACAGTCACTGACAATGTTGAACGCCATCTGACATATCAAATCAATTTCTTCACTTTGACTCCACTCTTGACTTTGTTGACATGTGACAGAAAGACATGGTGCACCAGGGCTGAATTGAAGGAGAAATTTAACTCTGAACATACTAACATATCAATTGGCAATACTGGGAACTACTGGGAATTTGGAGGTGTTTTGTTATCTTATCACTGCTTGGTCAGTGGCCTTGTTGCCCCAATCCAAACATAAAAACAATCAGTTTTTTGTTCATATTTTTCTAATCCCATACTCGTGTCATCTGGTTCCAGGATTACAAAACCCAGAGAAAGCTTAAAGCCCAGCTTTCTCTGCTCCCGATACACAATTCTAGAGCTTTGCATTAAGCCTTAATGCAAATTTTGTGTCATTTATACCTGAATTCACATAGTGACAAAGCCTCACACTGTCACACAAGGCTACACTGATTTCAAGTGAACATACCATAAGAATGTCCTGGAACATGCACACCTTGCTGCCCTCAAATAGACCAGGGGAATCCAAATATACTGAATGAGGAAAGAAAAAAAAAATAGAGGGCACACAGGCCTAGTGCATTACCAAAAAAAAGTTTAATAAAAAATAAAGTAGGTGTTGTACTCACAAATGACAATATAGTCAAGGCACATCATAAAGAGCTGCTGGGTCAACACCACGCTGAGTAACAGTCCGCAATAGGGATTGTAGACATCCAATAGGCTGATGCGTTTCGAGGACTTGCTCTGAGGAAGAGGCAAGTCCTTGAAATGCGTCAGACTATTGGATTTTCTTTCAGCTCTTTATGATGTGCCTTGACTATATTGTCATTTGTGAGTACAACACCTACTTTAATTTTATTAAACATTTTTTTTGGTAATGCACTAGGCCTGTGACCCTCTGTTTTTTCTTTCCCCATTCACTAGGGTTGGTGTCACCTGGTGTGGTAAAATTTGGTGTCGTCCCCCCCCCGATAATTTTTTTCTCTATTAACAGACACTGTGCAGGCTAGGCTATTGGGCTCTCTGCTGCCTAGCCTGCCACAGGGCACTGGTCAGGCTAGTTTCAGGCCGGAAGCACACAGTCGCAGTGGGCACCCCAAAAAGACCCCTGTAAATGATACTGCCGCCGGTGTGCCAACCTGTGCACTGTCAAGGATTGGGGTGACACCATCATGGTCAGATACAGGGCCGGCATTAATATTAATTGACCCTGGGCAAACATTTTCTTGGCGCCCCCCAACCCATGCAATTTGCTCTTTATCCCAAAAAAACAAAACACACATCGACTTATCTGAAAAAAACTTTAAATATGTAAGCATAAAGACTGGTCCACACTCACTGATTAGTCCTGGCTCACTGATTGGTTACTAGAGGTTACTGCACATAATTACCTTTCACCCATTAGTTGGTAGAGGTTACTGCACTTCATTACCACTCACCGATTGGTTGCCAGAGGTTGCTGCACATCATTACCACTTACCGATTGGTT